AGGAGCCCTTAGTCTATAAAAGGGATTCCTCACCCTCACAATCTTCAAGCCTCTCATATTCAGAGCAGGGCTCTCACCCTCACAATCCTCTTCAACATCTCAAAGAAATACAATATCAGTGTGGATGTAGCCCAAACATTGGGGTGAACCACGATACATTTTGTGTTCCATACCACGAGCAACCTGATTTGTTGCCCCCTTCGATGTCTTGCAATCACACCAACACAAACCCCAAATCTAAAGGTTGCAACATCCTTCTAAGACCACCACAACAATGATCGTCGCCGTATACTAAAGAAGCTACAAACTCTGTAGCTACAGGAAGACCGCGGGAAGACAAATCTCACGGCCAACATCGCCAACAAAGGCGAACAGGGGGAAAGACCAACACGGGCCAACAAAGGTGGTCGTGCGAACACCAGAGCCGAAGCTCTACACACACTCCCAAGATTGCGCGATGAATCATGAAGAAAATAGATGGCAATCGATCAAAATTGTAGATGGTTGGAAAGATGATCGAACCCATTGATGAAAATGATGGAGATGGATATGGAGGAAACGGGTGATGTGGATATAAGATGGTAGGATCAAAAGGAAAATAGGGCAGCATAGTGATGATAGTAGGAGGAAAAGAACCGGAAGGAAACAGGAAAGATAAGCAAGCAAACAACAAGAAGAAAAGGAAAAGAAAAAAATAGAAGAGAACCATGGGACTGCTACCGACCCTAGCCACAGCTAGAGCCGGCTGTGACGTGAATCTTCAAAGATTGGATGCACTCACACAAAGAGGAGAAGAACTCTCACATACGGAGAGAGAGGCTCTCATAAACAGAGAGAAAAATATAGGATGAGTGACCACCAGGACATAAATTTCTAGAAAATAGAACTTTGGCCGATGAAATAGTAGAAAATTCGTCAGGCAAAATTGTAAAATTTTCGTAGTTTAGGATACTATTCTAGCTCATCAATAGGTTTTACCAACAAAATATTGTCCTCAAACAATTACATTCGTTAGCCCAAATTGGTCAACGCACTTGGCTCGAAGAAATTGCCGTTGGTAATTTCGTCGGGCAAATAATTTTTGCCTTACAAAGTTTTAAAATTCATTGAGCAAATGTTTGTGCAACAAGTTTTATTTTTGAATTTGTGTAGGGCAGAACATTAGGCAATGAAACCTTATTTGGCTCGCCGAAATCCTTTCATCGGGAAAGAGGGTGTTTTTCTTGTAGTGTTCGGTTCTCCTTCACATACTTTTCCTATATCTTAAAGATAAAAAAATTAAACCAAACCAAATAGTTACCAAATGAGCTATATTTTTGCGAGTTTCAAAATTGAACTAATTGATAATAAAAAATAGCTACCAAAAACTAAAAACCGAAAATGCAAATTGTTGTCAAACGAACATTAAGAAAAACATATATTGAAATGAGAAATTTTCAACCTAAAGAAATGAAATACATAATAGAAGTACCACATACCTATAATGTCTTAGATCAAATCCTGAAAGGTCGGCTATTGTAGTCAGTGAACTCTTCCACCTTGTCACCTTCTCTGTTTCTCCTTCGAAATCTTTTCATGTTTAGCAAACGCCTTTTCAAAACAAACTCCGGTCTGTGTTCGGACTTCCGACGGTGTCACGTCATAGAATACCGGCAGAATCAGTCTAGACTCATCGTTTGCCGCAAGTTCAACCATACTTGCAAGTTCATGCAGGCACCATGTGGAGGTTGCGTAGTTTCTCAAAAGAACAACGACGAAAATTTGCGATTCTGCGATTGCTTCGGTGAGTTCCTTTGAGATGGGTTTTCCGCTCTCGAGTTGTTCTCATCCCTGAAAGTGTGGATCCCGTCTCGAACTAGAGCATTGTACAAATGGTCAGTGAAACCTTTCCGAGTGTCCAAACCTCTAAAACTCACGAAAACCTCGTATTTCATTGGAGGGGTCGGAAAAGGAGGCAAAGGTGACGAGGTTTTGGTGGTCATGGGATCAGCCATTGGAGACTAAACACCAGTAAACAAACTGGTAATTAATGGAAGCTTTGGCAAGTTGTTACTTAAAAGGATTTGCAGAACTAGCTAGCTTGGTATAGCTGCGAAGAATCACAAGTAAACGGACTCAGAACCGCAATACAAGGACATCAACTTCTATGACACGAGTAGTTACGAGTACATTGTACATCTGAATCATTAAATTAAGAGGTATTTGTTACTTTGTCTCCTAAACTTGTATGCAGCTGCCAATTTTTCGTCTAAACTTTAATTTTAGCCGATTACCCCCTTGAACTTTTTAAATTAGCCAATTTCCTCCTTGAACTTTAATTTTAGCCGATTACCCCCTGAACTGTTATAAATAGCCAATTCCTCCTTTGGCGTTAGATTTTAAAAACTTTCATTCAATTTTTCATCCATCCAATGTTTCATCCTTTTTGCCCTCATACAGTTGTCATGTGTTGTTTCCGTGATCAAGATGGATGAAAACTTTTAAAATCTAAAGCAAGGGGAAATTGCTATTTATAAAAGTTCAGGGGGTAATAGGCTAAAATTAAAGTTCATGGGAGAAATTAGCTAATTATAAAGGTTTTAGGAGGTAATTGGCTAAAATTAAAGTTCACGGAGGAAAATTAACAGCTCTATACAAATTCAGAGGATAGATCAACAAATATACCTTAAATTAATGATATAATGTTATGTGAATAAAAATTTGTATTTGACATTATATTATTAACACAAAACATGATGTACGAGAGCCACATATATTATAAGACTTCGACGACAAGAATACAAAAATAACTCTCGGACTGATGGAGTGCATACCTGCAGCTGAATACAGGGCAACCTAGTACTATATTAATATTATATGTTAGTCAAAAGCTGGGAATTTTTATAGGTAAACAGCCAAAAGAGCAGAAGCTTCAAAGTCCCTCCACGATGACTAGTTTTTTTTAATGTTAACTTGTTTGATTATCTCGTGTAAATAGGAATTTCAGTTTTATTTTATGACAAGTTGTTTGATTTTCTTGTCTGAGATCTTAAAAAATACGGAGACAAAAACAAAATGATGGTGTGAACGTGAACCTGCTGCCCCTTTTTTTTTTGTGGGCCTCGACGTTCGAGGATTAATGAATCAAGGACCAATCCACATGCATTCACTCTAATCAAGCAAGTCCACAATGGATGCGATTGCATTGCCAATTCCATTGATTTATTAAAAGAGATTTGAAAGTATACAACCACGCATTTGAATCCTTTGTCTTAATGTCGCGTATTATTGGACAAAGCAACAACTGTGGTAGCCTATTTTATCTGATAAGAAGGAGAGGGCCGGCGGTAAGCATAGAGAGAGAGAGGAGAGATGTGTTTGTAGAATTATAGAGGAATTGTGTGTTTGAGGATCTGTTATCTCCCATACGTAGTGCCTTTATTTATAGTAGTAAAAGGAGAGAAGAACTTCTTCATCCCCAAGGAATACAAGTCCATATAGGAAAGAATAACTAGAATTAAATCTAATCTAGGATTTACACAATCACACTTAAACTATGAAAGTTCACAACACTCCCCCTTGAGTGTGTAAATATTGAAGGTAGATTTCAGTATCATGCAAAAGTTGAGGAAGTCAACCCGTCGGCACTAATTCTGGGAAAAACGTTTATTCTCAATAAGGTAGGAACTTGCATAAAGTAGTAAGTCTCACTAAAAAACCCTAAGGTTATGGCAAAAACCCAAGGACAATCCATAGTCTAAGAAAAAATACGTGAGTAATGCAAAGCCAAATGAAACGTCTACGGGACGTCATCAGGGATATGATCAACCCAAGGTGGGTGCCTCGTTAAACCTAGTTAGGTAACAAAAACCCAGTGGGAAAAATGCTCCTAATCATAGGGAAAAAAGTACATTAAGATAGGGGTGGGCACTGGCCTGGGCGGGCCGAATTTTGAAAGGACCGGACCGGACCTGAACTTAGAAGAGACAGGCCAAGCTGAGCCGGGGATTACATTTTCTAATATAGGAACCAGACCTAACCTAGCCCGTTTGAAATGGGCTGGTTCGGGCTGGGTCCACGGGTCCTTTGTTTTTTTTTTCAATTTAGTAAAAAAAAAAAAAAAAACTCAAATTTGCAGAAATTCATTCACAGCACAAATTCACTCCCTAGATTTTGCACAAAAGAAGACTAGTACTTTCTTCCAATTAGCAGAGTAGCCCCACTTTCTTCTAAACGTTCGCACGAAATTCGAAAATATTAATTAAGAATATCCCTCAAAATTTAAAAAAATATAATTAATAGTCTTTCTCATTCATTTCTTTCATCTCCCGAGGAATATTAATCAAGACGATGCCTCGAAACTCAAAAAAAAAAATAGAATTAATAGTCTTTCCCATTCATTTCTTCCATCTCCCAAGCACGAGACTCGATATTAAATGACGCGCGCCACAAATAAGCCTCTAAAAATAAGCAAAAAAGAATTATGAAAAAATAAAAAAAGAGGTGGGGGGATGCAACACGAGGACTTCCCAGGAGGTCACCCATCCTAGTACTACTCTCGCCCAAACTCGCTTAAATTCGGAGTTCTGATGGGATTCGGTGCATATGAATTGGTATGATCGCATCCGTTGGTCTATGACTTGTAATTGTATATAACCATTTCTTTGGCGATGACCCTGTAACCTCTATGCATGTGCAAATCACATCGGCTTTAAACGTTTGCACGAAATTCGAAAATATTAATCAAAACGATCCCTCGAAATTTATAAATATAATTAATGGTCTTTCTCATCCATTTCTTTCATCTCTCGAGGAATATTAATCAAGATGATCCCTTGACACTAAAAAAAAATAGAATTAATAGTCTTTTTCATTCCTTTCTTTCATCTCCCAAGCATGAAACTCGGTAATAAACGACGCGCACCACAAATAAGTCGCTAAAAATACACAAAAAGAACTATGACAAAATAATAAGCCGCTAGAAATATGCAAAAAATAATTATGAAAAAAAGAGAGGTGGGGGGATGCAACACGAGAACTTCCCAGGAGGTCATCCATCCTAGTACTACTTTTGTCCAAAATCGCTTAACTTCGGAATTCTGATGAGATCCGGTGCACGTGAGTTGGTATGATCACATCCGTTGGTCTATGACTTGTAATTGTATATAACCATTTCTTTGGCCATGACACCGTAACCTCTATGCATGTGCAAATCACATCGACTCTAAACGTTCGCATGAAATTCGAAAATATTAATCAAGACGATCCCTCGAAATTTAAAAAATATAATTAATAGTCTTTCTCATTCATTTCTTTCATCTCCCGAGGAAACATAATCAAGATGATCCCTCGAAATTTAAAAAATATAATTAATAGTCTTTCTCATCCATTTCTTTAATCTCCCAAGGAATATTAATCAAGACGATTCATTGAAACTAAAAAACAAATAGAATTATAGTCTTTCCCATTCCTTTGTTTCATCTCCCAAACACGAGACTCGGTAATAAACGATGCGTGCCACAAATAAGCTGCTAAAAATATGCAAAAAAAGAATTATGACAAAATAATAAGCCAAGGCAAGATCCGTTAAGGCTAGTTCACTTGAAGCTATCTTCATCTTCGTATGTCCACCCTCAATGGAAGAGCTTGAGAAGCGCCTTCGGGCAAGGTAGTTTAATATGCCATTTATTATTTGTCATCCTCAAATTGCACTTTCCATGTTCCTGTTCTGAGCATGGTTGAATATGGAAACAGGGGAACTAAGACAGAGGAACAGGTCCTGAAGCGACTTCGTAACACCAAGGCTGAGATTTAGCAAGGGCAATCATCAGGCATCTTTGATCATATGTTGTATAATGATAACCTGGAAGATTGTTACTAGAGTCTAAAGGTAGCTGTTCCCACCGTCATTGGATTTGCACCGATGCTTCTTATGAACTTATATATTTACTAATTACCTTGTCAGTTACTTTTACTTATTACTGATGCCAAATTCATCTGTTTGTGTAGAAACTCTTGGGGCTAGATGGAACTGTTACTGCTGCTCCTACATCAGGTAAGAAGCGTTTCAAATGAACTTGGTTATATTACATTAAATCGAAATTTAATGTGTTAAAATTTCACTTCAGCAAGTAAAGTGGTTGATTTGCCAATGGACCATTCGTTGACCAAGATTGATAACAAAATCATCATAAACTCCAGAACTCCAGAACTGGAAAAAGCATCCACTAACACGTAAGTTTCTTTTTTCATTGCTCGTTTAATCAATATATAGCGTAAGATATTTAGCTGTTTACACGTATGCACGGTCTGATGAGCAGGATCGTGCTGGATGTGTCAGCCCTCAAAGGAGGGGCGCCTGGGCGGATTAGAAGGCTAGACATATATACCATGGACTTTTTTTTAGACGGTCTGACTGGGATTAATCAGTGAGATAAAGATTTCAACCCCGAAAGATGACAACTTTGATTTCTTATTCGTACTTTCTTTTCAAACATGAAGTGGCTCTTGGACCAGAACATGAATATACAGCAAAGGGCCCATAAGTTTGCAGAAATAGATTTCTGGAATCTTATGAAGCTCGAACATGAAGTTGCTCTTGGACCAAAACTTATCCGTGTAGCATGAACAAATTCGAATTTCAGCCATTCCCCTACTTGTTTGAGTTGAATATTAGAATGCGGAACGAACAAGACTAACAAAATAATAAGAATATTATTAAACTAACTAAGAATGACGAAACGGCTACAATACCCTAAGAGACTACATTGTGAATGACTTGATAATTCTACGAGCTACAAAGCATCATATATATAGAGAACTAACCTAACCCTAATAAGCAAGAAAACGAAACCCTAATACTAACGGGATAAGCCCAAATTCAAACAATAAAATAAATAACTAATTTTCCAACAGTTTGTAGACTATATATCAAGAAGGCTACTACACAAACAAAATAAAAGTTAAAAGACCCGTTTGATGATCATTTCGTTTATGGTTTCTAATTTTTACTTTTGGTTAGATATAAAAGAAAATACAACGAAGAAAGAAAGGGATGAATAGAGAAAGGGTGGGTGGTGGAAAGGATATGGAATAGTACGGAAGAAATGCACATGAATACACAACATGTAGACCAAAAATTGTAAACAATTTGAAGTAGGGGGTCATTTGATAGCCATTTTGTCTTTGGAATTAGAGATCCGAAAGTTTACGGATGTATACTAAAGGGAATGTGATTAGTTGGGATATGAAAAGAAATGCTGGTACTTTGTATGCGAAGTGGAATTCGTTAGGTCAACTACACAAATATTGAAATCCAAGCTCATCTAATGACATTACTAAGGACCTCCAATTGAGTTAATCACGAGATTGATTAACAATTATTAGCATTAGACTAAAATTTACTTCTAATGTCATCTAATTAAACAACTAGACCTTTTCATCTTCTATTGAAGAGTTGAAATTCATGGAACCCAACTGACGGAAGATATTTTACTATATAAAATGATTCACTTGTTCAATCATCTTTCATTATTAAACATATGATCAATATTGGCAGAGAACAATTCATGCAGCGGAAATAAGAAATAAAGTAAATATTTCTTTGAGATGAATTTAAGACGTCGGCTTTGGTACAACATGAAAACAAATAAGGATTACTGCGATTGCAAGTTCAGAGATCATTAAGACCTGCCGTCCCACCATTATTCATTTTCTTCATTTTTTTCTCTTCTCTTTTTATGCTTTTAGTGAACAGTATAGTTTTTAGGGGTTTTCAGTTTTAAGTATGAAAAGTATAATATTGAACAATACAATGTTAGTATTATGCAGTCTTTTGATTGATATTTTTTTGGCAAGTACGGTGAGATGTGGTCAAATGTTGCCGAGTCATTCAATTCCAGTTGGTAGAAAGTGTGGTCAAACGTTGCCGAGTCATTCAATTCCAGTTGGTAGAAAGCTTAGGGGTTTTCAGTTTTAAGTATGAAAAGTATAATATTGAACAATACAATGTTAGGATTATGCAGTCTTTTGATTGATATTTTTTTGGCAAGTACGGTGAGATGTGGTCAAACGTTGCCGAGTCATTCAATTCCAGTTGGTAGAAAGCATAGGAGTTAAGTTGATGGTGGTGAATAAGGAGAAACGTATTGTTGCAAAGAAATGGAACTCTTAATTATGTCTTGAAATAGAGAACCAATTGGATAAGTTATTAGAGATGGGAAGACATTGGTCAAGCGAGTTTGTATTTGAAGTACATAGTGATGATTTGGTGATGGTGGACTTGAAAAATTGGTATTGTTCATGTCATCACTGGTAGATTAAAGATTTCTCTTGCTCACATGCAGTTGTAGACTAAAGCAATTTTTGGTAATAAATCATTACGTTTGATGTGCACCTTGCGTACCAATTGTCGTCGAAAGTGCACCTTATGTACTAGATATTGTCGAAAGTGCACCATGTTTTTACTTGGCGCGATGTGCACCTTATATACCAAATTATTTGTATCTTTTAAATTAACATAACGTTAAAAGACCTACCAAATAAGGCATGGTTATGTACCAAAAGTCGGGTACGTTCTAAATTAACTTATTCGATCATTATGTGTCAAATTAACATGAATTAATGTACCAGTTAGTTGGTAGTTTAATACCAAATGATCATTACTCGTCGAAATAACGTAAAAAGACATACCAAATAATTGGTACTTTTCAAACACACGCGTTTCATCAGACGGGTACGTTTCAAAAATAAAAATTTTAAATACCAAACGTCTAGTACCTTCTAAATCAATATTATTTCACTAAACAAATGATCAATATGTATCAACATAAAAGGAATCAAACTTAAAATAAAATTAAAAAAAAACTGAAATCATCTCTCTTGTTCCAGATCTCTCCGCCGCACCCCCCCCCAAAACTCGCACCCCCCCCCAAAACTCCCTCCCTTTCTATCCCTTCTTCTTCTTCCTCGTCTGCTCCCCTGAACTCAACCCCACCACAAAGGCAGCAACAAGAAACCCAGCAAAACCCACCTTTCAAATTCTCATCGTTTTTTTCCCAATCCTTCTCTTTTTTTTAGCTACAAATCAACCCAGCAAAAAAACACACCACAAACCAAGAAAAATCACACAAAGGACTTTGTTTTCTATTAGTCCTAAAAAACAATTGGAAGGAAATTCACGGAGGACACCTTTTTTTCAACAAACCAAGAACACTCATCGGAGAGAAAAATGGGGCTGACTGTGATTTTGGGCATTAGGTTGGGGAAAAGCATTGACAAAATTCAATTTGGAGGAGGGGAAGAGCTGAGTGACGCCTCTAGTTGGCGAATTCCTCAGCTTCCATCCGCCCCTTTCTGTATATCCCTGTGGAATATGTTGTTTCACTACTGGTCTCCTTTTGTCTCTCTCTCACTCTCTTCTTTGTTCCTCTGTGTGCTTTCTGTCGGACGAGATGGGAAATTAGTCGGCGAATGACTGCAAAGGAGTGGCGCCCGGGGTGGAGAACTCGTCGAGGAACTGCTCGAAGGCCCACTTTGAGAAGTCGTTAACGGCGGCTTCGTGAAGTTGGAGAGGACAGCGCCCCGACTAATTATCCCGAGCTTTTGGGCTGTTTTAATAGTACGGTGTCAACCGTATAAAATTTGATGGGCCGGATAATTAAGCGGGTGCTTATTTAGTACAAGAGTGCACCAAACAACTGCTCTCGTATTATTTATCCTTTCTGATGCTTTATACGGCGTGCCAAACAAGGCCTATGTGTCAACATAAGATTCACTAATGTAATAAACTCCTGGTACGTTACAAATTTGTTATGAAAAGAGGGCGTTTAAAACTTACAATATGTTGAGTTCAGAAAAACAATTCATTCATGATTTATAGTTGATCGTAGGGGTCTTGAGTTCAGAAGTTTATAGTTGTCGACCATCTTAATAGCCTAGGTGAACAATAGTGAATTCTAATTTTAGTTTTCCAAATCGACAAATTAAATGAGGAACTAGTGTAATAATGTAATTCAAATCTTTAAATTTACAAGATTAATATCTTTAAATTCAAATTCTTATTATCTTGAACAATCAGTATTGTTCTTAAATTAAAAATCTGAGACATCATTTAGCAAGAATTTAGGAACCTCCTCTCTTTTGGCGTGAAGAAACTGGATATACCAACTACAAAAGGACCTTATTGTGTCGGTGGTTGGTGTCGATTTTATGTAATATAGTGGTAGATAAGACATTTCGATACCTACTTAACATGCTATCGGAATTACTGTCGGTAGTAACCGACATAAACTGTTAATGTCGCTTATAACCGACATATATTTTAATATTTTTTAATAGTGGCGTCGCATAAAAAAAAACGTGTCGCTTTTAACCGACATAACGTTAGCATCGGATAAAAGAAGACTAGCGTCACTTTTGGCCAACACTAATGATTGTTTTTAAATTCTTTTCAAAGCCGGTGTCAGTTGTAGCCAACATAGGTTTTAATTTTTTTTAAATATTTTGAAACACGGGGTCGGTTGTAACCGACAAAACGTTAGCGTTGGTTAAAAGAAGACTAGTGTCGCTTCTACTCGACCCTAATGATAGTTTTTAAATATTTTCAAAGCCAGTGTTGGTTGTATCCGACATAGGTTTTAATTTTTTAAAAATATTTTGAAACCTGATGTCAGTTTTAGGCGACAGATTGGTGGCCTTTATATACCATCCCCGTGTTTTCTTCTTCCTCCCTTGCATCTTTCTTATTTATTCTTCCAATTTATAAACCCTCCCCCGTGTTTTCTTCTTGTTATCTCGCATATATATTTCTTGCATCATAGGGAGCATATCTGCTCTAGCGAATGTAGCTACACCCACGTCTGCGGAAGGGGAGAAATTATTAGTGACATTGACAAGCCTTTCTTTATTGGTGATGTTCCTCAATGCTGCTTTGTGAGTTCTACTACATGATCATTCCTGTCTCACCCTTATGAGGGTGTTTGCTTATTTTTCCCTTTCTTATCGCACAATGACGTCATATACTGCAATATGGCCTGAGTAAACTCTTCTTCATCATACTGGTATAGTAGGCGGAGACCACACTTATGGACACTGAAGGCCTCGTGATCGCTTACGACTGAAGCTTCTAGGGAACTGCATTCATTCAACTGATCTGAAAACCACGCTCGTGGTATGTAGGATACCCAAACGAATCCTCCTAGATGCAACCACATGAATTCTTCTTTGCTTGTGCAGTAGTGATGCAGAGAATTCCCTTTGTCCGATTCAAAATGACAACTAAGGTTGTGAGAAATTGCTGGGATATCCAAATTGTCAATCTCAGAAGTCAGATGCTCCAGGATTGCAAAGTTTGCACATACAGCCAATCCTAGCCAATTACTGTCCATGTTTAGATTTTGTGGCAAACTGATTGTTAGCGAGTAGTCATTGCTTTGATGGCCAAACCACTCTAGATCTATGTTTGAAGGGAAACATGAATTGTATACAGAGAAACGATCGAAGTCCTGTAAAGGAGGAGAGACAAGGAGTCAGATATGTAGATATATGTACATGTGTATATAATTCAGTTTGAGTTTGTGCAAGATGTCTTGTCTTTGACGAGTGAGAAAACCTCTCTTCTACTCAATAATCCTACTTTGATCCCATTATTGACAAGCTTGATTGTTTTATGCTATGGAATCATCATTTAGACCTTAGACTTTAGGTTTCTAATCTCGTATTAGTTAATCACGTTGATGTGAGGAGCAAAGTGTGATATTAAAAACCTAAAGGACCATTATATTGTAGAATTGTAAGTAATGAGCTGATTAGCAAATAAGAAGTCTTTAATGTTAATTGTGTATGCACTTAGTCTTATAGAATGACAAGTGTGAGGCTCCATTATGTAAGGCTAAAATAGCCCTATGTAGTGATCCTAGAAGTTAGCTAGATGTGTGGCTGAGATCAAATGCGATGTGTGTGGATCCAGCTAAGGCAAAAACGGTTGTGAAGTGCACACGTACGTGCTCATTTCTTCCATTAAGTGAAATATATCCTCTCTGCCATTTTTGCAGTAGAGAAGAAGAATATTCATTCCTTTTGCATCCCACAATCCTTTTCTTATCACCATCTTTGCATAACTCAGATAAATATTTCACACTAACATGGTATCAGAGCCAGGTTCTATCAATTGAATCTGGGTGTGAATCTGTGAAGCCACTGAGTTAACTCGAAGCTCGGTGAAGGTCGCCGAAATTCAAAATTTATCTGAGAAGAGAAATCAACATTCAGGCCAATCTTCTCCGGTGAGGACTATGAGTTCTGGAGAATTAAGATGGTAACGGTTTTCAAATCTCTTGGGTTATGGAATCTAATAGAAAAGGGGATTACAACCCCCGACTCAAAGAAGAAGAAGGAAGCTGAAGGGTCATCAGAAGATGCAGTCGATGAAGAAATGACTACTGTGTTCATGAGGGATGCGAAGACTTTAGGAATCATACAAAATGCAGTCTCTGACCAGATCTTTCCTCGGATTGCCAATGCTGATTTAGCTAAGATGGCATGGGATCTGTTGTATGGAGAATACCACGGTAGTGATCAGATTAGATCGGTAAAACTTCAAAATCTTAGACGAGAATTTGAATATGCTAGGATGCGAGATGATGAATCTCTATCTGGTTATCTTACAAGGTTGAATGATTTAATTAATCAGATGAAAACATTTGGTGAATCTCTTTCTAATGAGAGACTTGTGCAAAAGGTTCTTATTAGTTTAAGTAAACCATATGATCCTATCTATTTGGTTATAGAAAATACAAAATGCTTGGAGACTGTAGACTTGCAGGAGGTAATTGCAATCTTAAAGAGCCAAGAACAACGGTTTGATCTGCATATTGTTGATACTACTGGGAAGGCATTTACATCTCCCTCAGTGAGTCCAAATGGACAGAATATAAGTGGAGTTCAATCTGGTTCATCTCAGTTTCAGAAGAATTGGAATTCTAAGGGCAAGAAATGGGATTCAAAACCCAAGTTTCAAAAGAAATTTCATGCTAGTCCTGCACAAAATGCACAATTAATGGGTTCGACAGTTACAAAACCACAATGCAGGGTATGCTCTAAGTTTTACTTTGGTGAGTGTAGATATAAGGGGAAGCCTAAATGCTATAACTATGAAAAGTTTGGACACTGGGCTTGAGAGTGTACTGCATGCAAATCAGTACAAAAAGCTAACAGTGCTAATCAAATAGAGGTGACAGGGAACTTGTTTTATGCAAATAACACTATTTATGGATCAATTGACAATGGTGAATGGTATATTGACAATGGCTGTAGCAACCACATGACTGGAAATGAGAAGTTATTGGTTGATATAAGGACAAATGTGGTAGGCAAAGTAAATGCCAACTGGTGAGCTTATGAATGTAGCTGGAATGGGAACACTAGTAATTGATACTTGTAAGGGCAGAAAATACATCAAGGAGGTAATTTATCTACTTGGATTGAAGGAGAACTTACTGAGTGTAAGACAAATGGATAAGCATGGGTATTATTTGTTGTTTGGAGGAAAAATGTGTAGCATTTTTTATAGTCATTCACTATAATGTCTTGTAATCAAAGTAGAAATGAAGAGGAATAGATGTTATCCTTTAGCACTATTACCTGATGATCATATAGCCTTGAAAACAAGTTTGTCTCATTCTACTTGGACCTGGCACAAAAGGCTAGGCCATCTGCATCTAAAGGGGTTAAAACAACTCAAAGAGAAGGAAATGGTGCATGGACTTCCATACTTAGAAGAAGTTGATGAAGTGTGTGAAGGTTGTTAGCTTGGAAAGCAACATAGAGAGTGGTTCGCAAAGAATCAGGCATGGAGAGTAAGCAATCCACTAAAGTTGATTCATGTGGATTTATGTGGACCTATACAAAATGAGTCCATAGCTGGTAATAAATATTTCATGCTTCTTGTAGATGACTGCACAAGAATGATGTGTGTTTATTTTCTCAGATACAAGTCAGATGCATTGAATTGTTTTAGAAAGTTCAAATCCATGGTAGAGCTACAAAGTGGTTTCAAAGTGAAGTGTCTAAGAAGTGACAAAGGGGGTGAATTCACATCTTGTGAGTTTAACAAGTTGTGTGAAGATGAGGGTATTTAAAGACAACCCTCTATGGCCTATACTCCACAACAGAATGGAGTTGTAGAGAGAAAGAACAGAACGGTAGTTGAAATGGAAAAAGCTATGCTTCATGATAAAGGATTACCTTACTATTTGTGGGCAGAATCTGTACACACAACTGTCTACATACTGAATATGTGTCTTACAAGAGCTCTCAGAGATATAACTCATTTTGAAGTATTCAATGGTCGAAAACCAGGGATTGCACATCTCAAAATCTTTGGTTATTTGTGCTATGTACACATATCAAGTGAGTTGAGACAGAAACTAGATGCAAAGAGTGTTAAGGGCATATTTGTGGGTTATGCCACTTGTGAAAAGGGGTACATAGTGTATGATCCTCTTACTAAGAAACTTATACTCTCGAGAGATGTTGTGTTTGATGAAAATGCAGCTTGGGAGTGGAAGAAGGTCTCTGAGAATTATGTAACTGTGCTTAATCATGATGAGCTATCTGAGATGCCTAAGAGTACATCACTTGGAGAAACTCCTGAAGGTCAGGACCATACTCAATCACCAAGCTTGTTGTCTTCCCATGAATTAGCAAGTGATATAAGTAGCAGTATGAGAAAGTCTCAAGCCTTTGATCACACTCCATTGAGGTGGAGGAACCTGGATGATGTTCTAACTCAATGCAATCTCTGCATTATGGAACCTGAAAAGTTTGATGAGGTAGCTAAGGATGAATCATGGATGATAGCTATGAAAGATGAATTGCAAATGATTGAAAAGAATGCATCATGGGAGCTAGTGGACAAACCAACTGATAAACCTATAATTGGGGTTAAATAGGTGTTCAAGACCAAGCTTAACCTTGATGGATCAATGCAGAAGAATAAAGCAAGGCTGGTAGCCAAGGGATATGCTCAGAAACTAGGTGTTGACTATAATGAGACTTTTGCACCTGTGGCTAAACTCGATACAATTCGAACACTAGTTGCATTGGCAGCACAGAAGAATTGGAAACTATACCAACTTGATGTCAAGTCTGCTTTTCTGAATGGAGTTTTTGAAGAGAAGGTTTATGTAGAACAACCAAATGGTTTTGTGATCAAGGGGAATGAAGACAAAGTGTACAAGCTTCATAAAGCTTTGTATGGCTTAAAACAGGCACCAAGGGCCTGGTATAGTGAAATTGACTCTTACTTTCCTCAATGTGGATTTGAAAAGAGTCAAAGTGAAGGCACTCTATATACTAAAACCAGAGGAGAAACAGAAATTCTGATTGTATCTCTATATGTAGATGACATTGTGTACACGGTCAACCAATGTTGGAGGAATTTAAGAGAGACATGATGACAAAGTATGAAATGACATATTTAGGGCTCTTGCATCATTTTCTGGGAATATGAGTCATCCAAACACACACAAGCATTTTTATTCATCAAGGAAAGTATGCTATATCTTTGTTGAACAAATTTGGCTTGAGTGAGTGTAAATATGTTGCTACACCTTTGGTTACAACTGAGAAGCTTAGTAAAGATGATGGCAGTGGTTCAGCAAATGAAGAACAATATAGGAAGATCATGGGAAACTTATTATATCTCACTGCTACAAGGCCGGATATAATGTATGCAGCAAGCTTATTGGCAAGATTTATGCACTGCCCCACCAATAAACACTATGGAACTGCCAAAAGAGTTCTCAGGTATATCAAAAGAACACTTGACTATGGTTTGGAATATGTGAAGGGAAGAAATGCAATTCTAATTGGTTACTGTGATAGTGACTGTCAAATCCCGGCCCGGGGCGGATCACTTCTCGGGCCCACTCCACCATCGTAGCACGATATTGTCCGCTTTGGGCCTCGACTACGCCCTCACAATTTTTGTTTCTGGGAACTCACATGAGAACTTCCCAGTGGGTCACCCATCATGGGATTGGTCTTGCGTACTACTCGCTTAACTTCGGAGTTCCGATGGAACCCGAAGCCAGTGAGCTCCCAAAAGGCCTCGTGCTAGGTAGGGATGGGAATATACATTTAAGGATCACTCCCCTGGGCGATGTGGGATGTTACAGTGATTGGGGTAGCTCAATTGATGACAGTAAAAGCACCACAGGGTATGCTTTCTCTTTTGGTAGTGGGATTTTCTCTTGGGCTTCAATCAAACAGAACTGTGTAGCTCTCTACTGCTGAAGCAGAGTATATTAGTGCATCAGAGGCAATTGCACAAGCAATTTGGCTCAAATTTGTGTTAGAGCACTTTGGTGAATTCCAAACTAAGGCTACTTCTCTTCAATACTCCTCTTCAGTGTGATAATATTGCTGCAATTGCCATCACAAAGAACCCTGTGTTTCATCAGAAAACTAAGCATATTGATCGAAGATATCACTTCATCAAGGATGCTTTACAGGAAGGAATCATTGATCTTGTTTACTGTCCTACAAATGAGCAACTAGCAGATATCTTCACAAAGTCATTGGCTAAGGACCGGTTCTGCTATCTCAGGAATAAACTTGGAGTGAAATCAGCTCAAAACTTAAAGGGGAGTGTAGAATTGTAAGTAATGAGCTGATTAGTAAGTAAGAAGTCTTCAATGTTAATTGTGTATGCACTTAGTCTTATAGAATGACAAGTGTGAGGCTCCATTATGTAAGGCCAAAATATCCATGTGTAGCAATCCTAGAAGTTAGCTAGATGTGTGGCTGAGATCAAATGTGATGTGTATGGATCCAGCTAAGGCAAAAACAGTTGTGAAGTGCACACGTGCATGCTCATTTCTTCCATTAAGTGAAATATATCCTCTCTGCCATTTTTGCAGTAGAGAAGAAGAACATTCATTCCTTTTGCATCCCACAATCCTTTTCTTATCACCATCTTTGCATAACTCAGATGAATATTTCACACTAACATATATACCCTAAATAATCAACCAAATGGGATCAAAGTTGAAGAGAATTAATTAGAAAATATTTCTTAATGCATAAGAGGATGTCCTGCACATAGAATTTCTGCAAATAGTTCAGGTGTGTAAATAATTATAAATGTGTGTGGGAAGAGAGCGAGAGAGTATAAAGAAAATCATACCCATTTTCTGTGACTCGGCTTTACTAATCTTTCAAGATGAGGTTTCGTAATGTAGCTGCTACATCTACTAGATGATTCCGAGTTACCCTCAGCGCATTGCTTATTTTTGCCCTTCTTATCTGACAACAACATCATATTGTGAAATAAGGCCTCCTCAAACTCTTCCTGATCATGCTGATTTACAAGGCCTAGCCCACAACTATGCACATTACATGCTTCATGATCGCTTGCAATTGAAGCCTTCAGGATACTGCATCCATTCAACTGATCCAAAAATGATGCTCGTGGTATATAAGCTACCCAAATGAATCCCCCGAAATATAACCACTGGAATTCTTCATTGGTGGTGCAGTAGTCATGGAGAGGTTCTATTGTACCTCTTTCTGATTCCAAATGACATATCAGATGGTGGGGAATATCTCGATTCAAATTGTCTAGCTCAGCAGTTGGATTTTCCCCAACGGAGAAGTAAGCACGTAGAGCCAATCCTTTCCAATTAGTGTCACTATACAAATTTGGTGGTAGTGGAATTATTACCGAGGAACCATTGCTCTGATCCCCAAACCACTCTAGACTGATGCTTGAAGGGAAACAAGCATTATAGATCGAATAACAGTCAAAAATCTGTAGAGGATAGACAAGGTGTGAGATATACGTTTAAATATATATATGCGTGTGTGTGTGTGAGAGAGAGAGAGAGAGAGAGAGAGAGAGAGAGAGAGAGAGAGAGAGAGGGAACCCTACCCATTTCTTATCACTGGGCTGCTCTGATTTCTCAAGATGAGGATTTACAATGTCGACGCCTGTAATACTAGATGATCCTACCTCACAGTCCTGGTTTTGTTTTTCTTCCCCTTCATTAATATCAGACAAGGAAGTCATGCAGTGCATTATGGTCTCCTTGAGCCCTTCTTCATCTTTCAGATATATAAGACGGAGCCCACACCTATGCACACCCAAGCTTCCACAATCGCTTACAATTGAAGCCTCCAGGTGCCCTCCTTCATTCAACTGATTCGAAAACCAACATCGTGGTATATAGGACAACCAAATGAATCCTCCCATACGATTCAACCACTTGAATTCTTGCTTGGGGGTGCAATAGCTATGGGGAGAATCCAGAGAACCTTTATCAGTTTCTAAAAGACATGTAAGATTGTGAGAAATATCGAGATCCAAATTTTCATGGTCGGTAGTTGAATGGTCGAGGACTGAAAAGTATGCACATAAAGCTAGTCCCCTCCAATTGGTGTCTTCACATAGATTTGGTGGTAGAGAGACTTTTACAGAGTGATCTCTGCTTTTACCCTCGAACCAGTCTATAATCTCATTGGGAGGGAAACAAGAATTATATATCAAGTCACGGTCGAAGTCCTGCAAAACATGAGAGATAGGATAGATGAATATTTATACATATATATTGGTAGATATACACACACACACACACACACACACACACACACACACACACACACAGAAAGAGCGCCAAAACTCAAACTATAATTTTACCAGGAGCCGACTCTGATCCAAGCTTATATTGTTGGCATGACCATAAGAACAAACAATCTCCTGCTGTAGAAATTCGTAATTAATTCCTAAAGAAAGAGCAATCTCCCGTCGTAGAAAGTCCCAATTACTTCCTGTTGCTTCATCCTGACAAGCTGATGTTCTTTTTCTTTCTTGTTGAGATTCCTCAGCAGAGTCAGTTTTTGGGCGAAAATCAAGTGGCATGAAACGAGGACAAACTTCGCTCACTGAGCTGTGCTCCGTGGATTTGGCTGCTTCAAGAAAATTCATTAACAAACTTGTACATCCCAAACTAATTCCATTATATTTCTTGGTATCTGTAAAATCACCAGTTCCGTAGTAAACAGGGCGACCCGTTGTGGTGGTGCAATGGGTTATTGTTTGGATTAACCCTTTCAAGTCTTGGTCGTATACTAGACGCATCCCGCACATTTCAACCTTCACACCTGGAGTTCTACATCCAAATAAAGCTTGAATGAAGCGACACCGATTCAAGCGTTCCGGAAAACGTACTCGTGGTATATGAACAATAAGGAGTCGATGTGACCCCACATTGTTATCCAACGGGGACCATAACATTAGTCGATGCATCAGTGCTTCCACACCCACAGCTTCAATAGGTGTATACAAATGACACTCATAGTAAATGCGGCCAAATTGAACACCTTGAGGCAGACTGCAAACAACATATAGAGAAAGTCCCGCCCATTTCTCATCATTATGCAGATACGGAGGTAGAGTTAAGTTGACCGTGCATGCAGACGTAGTGCTCTGTTCACTGAACCATTGTAATTTTTCTCGTCGAGAAAAAATAAAACCATAATCGTGGATATTTGGCAGGCCCCTCCGCAATCCCTATACATGCATTCACACTCATGATATCAGTAATCAAGTTGTCATTTTTGTTGTGTGCGTATGAGAGAGAGAGAGAGAGAGAGAGAGAGAGAGAGAGAGAGAGTACCTCAAATAGTTTTTCAAGCAATGACACTACGTTTCTTCTCAATTGACCTACAATGGGAGTTGAACTAGTAGTTTCTTCTTTTTGTAATTCTTGTTGAATTTGAACCCCACTTGTCGACGGAACACTTCTCATACCATCTTCGTTTTCGTCTTCTTCTTCAGGCTGATGGCCGTTACAGAAATTTTTATTGTGCTTAATCATTTTACTGACAAATGTGGTCACGTGTTCCGAGTTTATTTGACTCGCCCCACACTCTTTCACTTTTACTTCTGGGCTATCAGGTGTAATCAAAGCTCGGATGAAGCGTTTATTTGAACATTCTTCAAGGCCAGTTCGTGGTATATACAACCAATGTATAAATGGTCCAGTGAAATCAAGATCACCGTAATTAAGCACTTGGGGACGTTCATGAGGATCTTCAGTTGTATAGAGATCAATGCGGAAATTGCGAGTGAGGTTTGATTGCGATTTCTCATCAAATTCTGGCTCATCTTCCAAATTATCATGCTTCTGTGCAGCTACACAGACAAAACATAGAGCAAGTCCCATCCATTTACTTATACCATCAACATCACGAGGCAGTGGGATTGCTACACTGGATTCAGTACTCTGACGGCTCAACCATGCTGGAATTTTATTTGATCGATAAGAATATTCTAACATAGTACTGCGATGAATTGAATCCTGTAAAATAGAAGCGAGATAAGTTAAAAAAAAAAAAAAAAAAAAAACAGCTAATTAGAAAGGTGGATGGAGAGAGAGAGAGAGAGAGGACCTCAAAGTATGTTTGATAGGACTCCCTCAAAAGATATTTAGGCGGTAGCCAATATGCCTGACCTTTGGTTTTATCACTTCGGCGATCTATAAAACTAAATCCAGCAGCAGTTGAATTCCATACCATTATTTTATCTGAATGTGCTCCCTCCAACAAGGGACAATTATGTGCCCTTACCCATCTTATACTAAATGGAAGTCTTGGCCAGGACCGAAGCTTGCTACAATCATCCAATACAAGTTCTCCAAGTTGAGAAAGTTGAGAGATGCTTTCAGGTACTTCACTTATAGCAGTCCCGCCAGCATAAAGCTCCTGTAAACATTCTAAACTCCCCAAGTTCTCTGGCAACTCGTCAAGATTCGAACACCCTGAGAGGTTGAGAATTTGAAGTAACGTCAAACTAGTACAAATGGTTGCTGGCAAACTGCAAAGGTTTTTGCAATATCTGAGATAAAGCTTGCTAAGCCTGGTCAGATCCTTGATTGATGCTGGTAGCTGTTTTATAGCTGTCCCGCTTGCATCAAGCTCCAGTAAACAGTTTAAACAACCAAGGTTTTCTGGCAACTCTTTAAGATTCGCACACCCTGAGATGGTCAAAGTTTGAAGGGATGTCAAACTAGTACAAATGATGTCAGGCAGACTCAAAAGGTTCTTGCAGTCTTTGAGATTGAGCACAGTAAGTCCGGTCAGATGCTTGATTGATGTCGGTAGCACTTCTATAGCTGTCCCATCTAAATACAGTTCCCTTAATTGTTTCATGTCTTCTCCAATCTCTGGAAGCTTTTCAAGTCTGGAACATCCCGAAAGAATGAAAGTCATAAGAGATCTCAAGTTGATTATATCGGGAACCTCAGACAAGCATGTGCAACCTTTAAGGATTAGCTGCTCAAGGTTTGGGACTTTGCCGAAGTCGGGGGTCTCGATCAACTTTTCACAATCAGTAAGGTTGAGTATTACCAACGTTTCCAAAGGCTGTAAAGAAAAAGGGAGGAAAATGTATATGTTTAAGTATAAGTAGCATTCTCCGAAAGCCTTATATTTGTCAAATAAATTCAGCAATAAGAAATACATGGAGTATATAAACATTATTACCTTCTCAAATTCCTCCCATAATTTCTCTATTTTGCTTCCAGGCAAGTGCAGTTCAACAAGGTTTTCGGGTTCAAAACTTGAAGGCAGCAATTTTAAAGGATATTCGTGCCATTCCAAGAACCTTAACTCATCTGAAAGAGACTCCACGCATCCAGAAAATATCACATTGTGAATTTTCAACAATTTTAGATCGTCCATATTTAAGAATGTGTCTTTCTTCAAGTGTACTTTCTCTTCCTTAGGCGAGCTTAAGAAAATGCCTTTAACAGCATCTGTCCCCTATAGCCATTGGAAAAAAAAAACACAGCATTGAAAATCCAATAAAAAAAAATCAAATTCAAATAAAGTATGTATCTTACCTCTAAAATTATAACTAGACAACTTTTTAATCGAGATAAAAACATGAGCATTCCATTAAACTTCTCACCTTATATTTCTTTATTACATGAAGGGCATCTGTGCAAAGCCACAATCTGCTGCGTTTTCCCTTCTCTTCATTTTCTCCACGAACAATTTCTCTGCCCATTTTTTGTAGTAAATCATGCATCCACAATTTTCCTCCTATGATGCTTACCAAATTTTTCTCGCGTAGAATCTTTATATTGCTACCTGGATAGTAGCCACAACTTTCAAATATCTTTTTTACCCGACAAACATCCTCCCCATTGAAGAAACATGCGACGTCCAAAAACATTTTCTTCTGTTCTGAATGCGTTAATCCATAATAACTTACTTTAAGAGTACCAATAATTCTCTCCTCGCCTGAATAATTATGATCTTTCAAAGAAGCCAACGTGCTGGACCATTCTTCCACACTTCTTTCCAGGAGGGAGGAACCCAACACTTCAAGAGCCAAAGGAAGACCATCACATTGATCTACAAATTCATAAGACAATTTCTCATAGCCATTTATAGGACAATCCTCGTTGAAGGCTTTCCGGCAGAAGAGAAGAAGAGCTTCCTTGTCAGTAAGTTTCTCAACCTTGTATAGTAATTTTGGCTTATACTTTGTCAACAGCGTTTCATCTGTTGTGGTTACAATGATTCTGCTACCCTTACCAAACCGGTTATAAAAATTTTTGCCATCCTTTCCAGCTACAGCTTCTATTTGTTCTAATTCATCCACGTTGTCGAGAATTATCAGAACCCGTTTGCGGCACAATCTCTCACTTATCACTTTGTTGACATCCTTCGTAGTTACTTTTCTATCCAATAAGTGATCACATAGTTGTTCTTGGATGTGAAATAAACTTTGTTTTTTAGATATCTCTCCAACCTTAGAAATGAAACTGAAACCTTCAAATTCATTGCGAATTCTTTGAGAAAGAGCTTTTGCAATGGTACTCTTACCAACTCCTGGCATCCCACAAATCCCAATTATACAAACTTCTTCCGACCCTATAGACGAACGCATGTTGGATTCGATTTTATCTACTTGATCCGTACCAACGAAGTCCTTTAGATCATTTGACAACATGTGATTTGTGTTATTCAATTCACCGAAAATACGTTCAACTATCTGTCCAATCGGTTGTGTCTCGTATCTGCCAAACAGTTGAAGCATAATGTTAAGTATTTGGGATCAGTAGAATATGGGTTAAAACATACTCGTTAACAGGTTACAATCATTTAGTTTCTCAGTATACAGTTTTTGGGCATTAAATAATTTCACAATCACTTAGCATGTATTCAAATATAAGATAAGCATGGGTTGATGATCTATCTGTGTATCTGTAGGTTTTGGTTTTTAGCTTTCATATTTGAGTTGAGTGTAAATATATCGTTGAATCATAAATAAAGTGCCTTTTGTTTCTTGGTGAATTAACCTGCCTTTTCTAAACAAGGAAAGAGAGAAAAATAAGTATATAAAAATACCTACAAAAAATTGGGAAGGATAGTTCTACGTCTTCAAGTTTTAAATGTTTCTGATATGAACCCCATTAAATCTCATATGGGTACCAATTTTAAGGAAATGAAGCATGACATATATGTTGTTTGGCCTTAAAGATTCTTGACCAAATGTAACTTCTATTGATTCAAATTAAGGACCATTTTATTTGGACTAAGATGCAATCCATTTGGTTTAGTTTAAAAGTGGCACATTGCTGTGTACTCAAAAATGATGGTTATATGCTTACTTCTTGCTAAAAAAGTTCTGGATTTCTTTAACTTCTATATGAGATGGTTTTTGTTGTGTTTTATATTCTAAGCTCAAATATGAAATATCTTGCAGCGTAGAATTTTGGGCACAAGAAATATAATCACGGTTGCTCAAGGTACACATTAGTAAAATTTCAGGCTCGTTTGTCTTATTAATTTGCTATGTTGTTTATTTGCATGTCACTGTAATTCAAACTAATCTTTTAAGGAATTACATTAAAGATTGAATTTTGATGGTTTTATCAAGTTGACACAAATCAATCAATTTTTTTTGACAGATTACGGATTTTGATGTAAGTTTCAGAAACGATTGATATAATGCCCATCAAATTACCTTAATTTTTATAATATAAACCTGGAAATATAATGATTATTGGATGTGTATTTATTTAGGGGTTTTGAACTTTAATTCTTGAAGAATATTAAAATTTAATAAAAATCTAGTGTTAGATTGGATATTGATTTTAGTCATTTAATGTGTACTTAATCAAATTTATATTATATATATTTTTTAATATTTAATAGATATCGTATTTAATGTATTACATAAAATTTTAAATTCATTATTATACACATTTTAATTCATTAATTTGATTTTACTTCCTCTAATTAGTGTACCTAAACGTCTGTATCATAATATATTTTACTAAATTAGTGTACCGAAATGTTCGTACCTAAATATATGTACTGAATTAGTGGCACATAAGAAAATATGCAAAAACATAAATGTACACGAAAATTCTTTACCTAAATATATGATACTAAACTAGTGTACCAAAATGTCAGTACCTAAATATATTATACTAAAATAGTATACCGAAATGTTCGTACCGAAACATATTATACCAACCTAGTGTACCGAAATGTTCGTACCTAAATATATTATAAAGAATTTGTGGCACACAAGAAAATATGCAAAAATATTAGTGTATAGAAAAATCTCTACGAAAATATTTTCTTATATAAGATACTTCCCATAATGAGAATTAAAATTTATAATATTTTCATAAAGTTTAATTTATGAACACCATAAAATTATAAATAAAAAAGAGAGACATTGAATACATATGCTGACATTAAATAGAGTCACCCATCATGGGATTGCTCTCGCACGAACTCGCTTAACTTTGGAGTTCTGATGGAACCCGAAGCCATTGAACTCCCAAAAGGCCTCGTGCTAGGTAGAGATGAGAATATACATATAAGACTTACAAGATCCACTCCCCTGGACGATGTGAGATGTTATAGTTTATGTTGCCAATTTTTGTTGTTTAACATTTAATTAAATTTGTTCTCATTCTATTTGCTACAATTTATAGCTTATGCCATAAGGAACGTTAGGTTATTATATTGATATGTGCTTCACTTATTTTTTTATATTGTGATTTCTTTTGAAATTAATATAATTAAAACAAATTATTTTATTTGGGAACTATTATTAGCACTCCAAAAATCTCATTCTACACTCCTCACAAATGTATTTTTCTTTCTAATTATAGAAAGTTTGGAGTGCCAATGAGATTTTTGGAGTGCTAATAACAATTCTCTTTTATTTAAATCAAATATAATTTATAATTATGAATTATAAAATAAATAAAAAAGAAATTGTAAAGTTTGGCCAACGAATACTTCCGTCGAGCATGCATTTTTCCTTTTTTTTTTTTCAAATTTCTTGCTCGATGACAATTTCTTTAGGAATTTTTTTTCTTCTAGAAAATAGATTTTTTTTTTCGTCAAAGGATAAATTTATTACCAACACCACTAATTACAAAACAAAAGGTCCAAATAGAAGAGAAGTCCAAAAAGAAGATGAACCATAAAATACAAAATGGCCCAAAGACAGTTTTGGAGCCCAGCATACAAAAAAACCCTAACAAAACTATAGTCCTTGTAGCCATCACCGCCGCATCATACTTCTCGCTCCACGCCACGAGCAACCCGATTAGTTGCCCCCTTCGATGTCTTGCAACCACACCAACACAAACCCCAAATCTGATTAAGAGAAAGGTTGCAGCATCCTTCCAAGACCACCACAACAACGATCGCCGCCGCATATTAAAGAAGCTACAGACTTTGTAGCTACACGAAGACTGCGGCAAGACAAATCTCACGGCCAACATCGCCAACAAAGGCGAACAGGGGGAAAGACCAACACAAGCCAACAAAGGTGGTGGTGTAAACACTAGAGCCGAAGCTCTACACACCCTCCAAAGATTGTGCGATGAATCACAAAGAAAATAGATGGCAATCGATCGAAATTGTAGATGTTTGGAAATATGATCGAACCCATTGATGAAAATGATGGAGATGGATATGGAGGAAACGGGTGATGTGGAATTAAGATGGTAGGATCAAAAGGAAAATAGGGCAACATAGTGATGATAGCAGGAGGAAAGAAACAGGGAAGATAAGCAAGCAAACAACAAGAAGAAAAGGAAAAGAAAAAAACAGAGGAGAACCATGGGACTGCCACCAACCCTAGCCACAGCTAGAGTTGGCTTCAAAGATTGGATGCACTCACACAAAGGGGAGAAGAACTCTCACATACGGAGAGAGAGGCTCTCACAAACGGAGAGAAAAATATAGGATGAATGACCATCAGGACATAAATTTCTAGAAAATAGAACTTTGGGCAACGAAATAGTAGAAAATTCGTTAGGCAAAATTGTAAAATTTTCGTCATTTAGGATACCATTGTAGTTCATCAATAGGTTTTACCAACCAAATATTGTCGTCGGACAATTAGATTCGTTAGCCCAAATTGGTCAATTCACTTGGCTCGACAAAATTGTCGTTGGTAATTTCATCGGGCAAATAATGTTTGCCTGACAAAGTTTTAAAATTCATCGAGCAAACGTTTGTGTGACAAGTTTTATCAGATGAATTTGTGTAGGGCAGAACATTAGGCGATGAAACCTTATTTGGCTCACAGAAATCCTTTCATCTGGAAAGAGGGTGTTTTTCTTGTAGTGTTCGTTTCTCCTTTTCATCATATACTTTTCCTATATCTTAAAGATAAAAAATTAAACCAAACCAAATAGTTACCGAATGAGCTATATTTTTGCGAGTTTCAAAATTGAACTAATTGATAATCGAAAATAGCTACCAAAAACTAAAAACCGAAAATTAAAATAGTTGTCAAACAAACATTAAGAAAAACATATATTGAAATGAGAAATTTTCAACCTAAACAAATGAAATACATAACAGAAGCACCACATACCTATAATGTCTTAGATCAAATCCTGAAAGGTCGGCTATTGTAGTCAGTGAACTCTTCCACCTTGTCACCTTCTCTGTTTCTCCTTCGAAATCTTTTTCATGTTTAGCAAACGCCTCTTCAAAACAAACTCCGGTCTGTTTTCGGACTTCTGACGGTGTCACGTCATAGAATACCGGCAGAATCAGTCTAGACTCATCGTTTGCCGCAAGTTCAACCATACTTGCAAGTTCATCCAGGCACCATGTGGAGGTTGCGTAGTTTCTCGAAAGAACAACGACGAAAATTTGCGATTCTGCGATTGCTTCGGCGAGTTCCTTTGAGATGGGTTTTCCGCTCTCGAGTTGTTCTTCATCCCTGAAAGTGTGGATCCCGTCTCGAACTAGAGCATTGTACAAATGGTCAGTGAAACCTTTCCGAGTGTCCAAACCTCTAAAACTCACGAAAACCTCGTATTTCAGTGGAGGGGTCGGAAAAGGTGGCAAAGGTGACGAGGTTTTGGTGGTCATGGGATCAGCCATTGGAGACTAATCACCAGCAAACAAACTGGTAATTAATGGAAGCTTTGGCAAGTTGTTGCTTAGAAGTGTTTGCAGAACTAGCTAGCTTGGTATAGCTGCGAAGAATCACAAGTAAACGGACTCAGAACCGCAATACAAGGACATCAACTTTTATGACACGAGTAGTTACGAGTACATTGTACATCTGCATCATTAAATTAAGAGTCATTAAATTAAGAGTTATTTGTTGCTTTGTTCTCTGAACTTGTTACGAGTACATTGTACATCTGCATCATTAAATTAAGAGGTATTTGTTGCTTTGTTCTCTGAACTTGTATGCAGCTGCCAATTTTTCGTCTGAACTTTAATTTTAGCCGATTACCCCTATGAACTTTTTAAATTAGCCAATTTCCTCCTTAAACTTTAATTTTAGACGATTACCCCCTGAACTGTTATAAATAGCCAATTCCTCCTTTGGCGTTAGATTTTAAAAACTTTCATTCAATTTTTCATCCATCCAATGTTTCATCCTTTTTGCCCTCATACAGTTGTCATGTGTTGTTTCCGTGATCAAGATGGATGAAAACTTTTAAAATCTAAAGCAAGGGGAAATTGGCTATTTATAAAAGTTCAGGGGGTAATAGACTAAAATTAAAGTTCATGGGGGAAATTAGCTAATTATAAAGGTTTAAGGAGGTAATTGACTAAAATTAAAGTTCACAGGGAAAAATTAACAGCTCTATACAAATTCAGATGATAGATCGACAAATATACCTTAAATTAATGATATAATGTTATGTGAATAAAAAATTGTATTTGATATTATATTATTAACACAAAACATGATGTACGAGAGTCACATATATTATAAGACTTCGACGACAAGAATACAAAAATAACTCTCGGACTGGTGGAGTGCGTACCCGCAGCTGAATAAAGGGCAACCTAGTACTATATTAATATTATATGTTAGCAAAAGCTGGGAATTTTTATAGGTAAACAGCCAAAAGAGCAGAAGCTTCAAAGTCCCTCCACGATGACTGGTTTTTTTTAATGTTAACTTGTTTGATTTTCTCGTGTAAATAGGAATTTTAGTTTTATTTTATGGCAAGTTGTTTGATTTTCTTGTCTGAGATCTTAAAAAAAATACGGAGACAAAAACAAAATGATAGTGTGAACGTGAACCTGCTTCCCTTTTTTTCATATCGACAAATATACCTTAAATTAATGATATAATGTTATGTGAATAAAAATTTGTACTTGACATCATATTATTAACACAAAACATGAAGATAGTAATGTAGGAGAGCCATATATATTATAAGACTTCGACGACAAGAATACGAAAATAACTCTCGGACTGGTGGAGTGCATACCCCGCAGCTGAATGCAGGGCAACCTAGTACTATGTTAATATTATATGTTAATCAAAAGCTGGGAATTTTTATATTTAAACAGCCAAAAGAGCACAAGCTTCAAAGTCCCTCCACGATGACTAGTTTTTTTAATGTTAACTTGTTTGATTATCTCGTGTAAATAGGAATTTTAGTTTTATTTTATGGCAAGTTGTTTGATTTTCTTGTCTGAGATCTTAAAAAATACGGAGACAAAAACAAAATGATAGTGTGAACGTGAACCTGCTTGCCCTTTTTTTTTTTGTGGGGCTCGACGTTCGAGAATTAATAAATCAAGCAAGTCCACAATGGATGCCATTGCATTGCCAATTCCATTGATTTATTAAAAGAGATTTGAAAATATACAACCACGCGTTTGAATCCTTAGTCTTAATGTGGCTATTTTATCTGACAAGAAGGAGAAGGCCGGCGGCAAGGGTAGAGAGAGGAGAGATGTGTTTGTAGAATTATAGAAGAATTATATGTTGATGATTTGTTATTCACTCTACGTAGTGCATTTATTTATAGTAGTAAAATGAGAGAATAACTCCTTCATCCCCAAGGAATACAAGTTCATATAGGAAAGAATAACTAGAATCAAATCTAATATATGATTTACACAATCACACTTAAACTAGAAAAGTTCACAACACTCCCCTTTGAGTGTGTAAAATACTCAAGGTAGATTTCAGCATCATGCAGAAGTTGAGGAAGTCGACTTGTCGGCACTAATTATGGGAACAACGCTTATTCTCAATAAGGTAAGACCTTGCATAAAGTAGTAAGTCTCACTGAAAAACCCTAAGGTTATGGCAAAAACCCGAGTAGGGACAAAATCCATAGTTTAAGGAAAAATGCATGAGTAATGCAAAGTCAAATGAAACGTCTACGGGACGTCATCAGGGAAATGATCAACCCAAGGTGGGTGCCTCGTTAATACCTAGTTAGGTAGCAAAAACCCAGTGGGATAAATGCTCCTAATCGTAGGGAAAAGAGTACATTAAGATAGGAGTGGGCACAGGCCGGATCGGGCCGAGCCGAGCCGAATTTTGAAGGGACCAGACCGGACCTGGACTTAGAAGAGACGAGCCAGACCAAGCCAAGGATTACATTTTCTAATATAGGAACCAGACCTAACCCGGCCCGTTTGAAATGGGCTAGTTCGGGCCGAGTCCACAGGTCCTTTTTTTTTTTTTTAGTTTACTAAAAAATCACTCAAATTCTCAAAAATTCATTCCTAGTATAGATTCATTACCAGTACACACTGCAGTGTACAAATTTTGGACAAAAGAAGACTAGTACTTTCTTCCAATCAGCAGAGTAGCCCCACTTTCTTCTAAACGTTCACACGAAATTCAAAAATATTAATCAAGACAATCCCTTGAAATTTAAAAAATATAATTAAACGTCTTTCTCATTCATTTCTTTCGTCTCCCGAGGAATATTAATCAAGACAATCCCTCGAAACTAAAAAAAAATAGAATTAATAGTCTTTCCCATTCCTTTCTTTCATCTCTCAAGCACAAGACTCGGTAATAAATGACACGTGCCACAAATAAGCCGCTAAAAATACTCAAAAAAGAATTATGACAAAATAATAAGCAGCTAAAAATACGCAAAAAATAATTATGAAAAGATAAAAAAAATAAAAAAGAGGTGGGGGGATGCAACACGAGAACTTCCCAGGAGGTCACCCATCCTGGTACTACTCTCGCCCAAACTCGCTTAAATTTGGAGTTTTGATGGGATTCAGTGCATGTGAGTTAGTATGATCGCATCCGTTGGTCTATGACTTGTAATTGTATATAACCAGTTCTTTGCCCACGACCCCGTAACCTCTATGCATGTGCAAATCACATTGGCTCTAAACGTTCACACGAAATTCAAAAATATTAATCAAGACGATCTCTCGAAATTTAAAAAATATAATTAATAGTCTTTCTCATCCATTTCTTTCATCTCCCGAGGAATATTAATCAAGATGATCCCTCGAAACTCAAAAAAAAAAAAAAAGAATTAATAGTATTTCTCATTCCTTTTTTTCATCTCTCAAGCACGAGACTCGGTAATAAACACCGCACACCACAAAGAAGCCGCTAAAAATACGCAAAAAAGAACTATAACAAAATAATAAGCCACTAGAAATATGCAAAAAAGAATTATGAAAAAAAAAAAAGAGGTGGGGGGATGCAACACGAGAACTTCTCAGGAAGTCACCCATCCTAGTACTACTCTTGCCCAAAATCGCTTAAATTTGGAGTTTTGATAGGATCCGGTGCATGTGAGTTGGTATGATCGTATCCGTTGGTCTATGACTTGTAATTGTATATAACCATTTCTTTGGCAATGACCTCATAACCTCTATGCATGTGCAAATTACATCGGCTCTAAACGTTCGCACGAAATTCGAAAATATTAATCAAGACGATCCCTCGAAATTTAAAAAATATAATTAATAGTCTTTCTCATCCATTTCTTTCATCTCCCGAGGAAAATTAATCAAGACAATCCCTCGAAACTCAAAAAAATAGAATTAATATTCTTTCTCATTCCTTTCTTTCATCTCCTAAGCACGAGACTCGGTAATAAATGACGTGCATGTGAAATCCCGTCCCTGGAATTTCACTATTCAGTATGTATCTTGTAATTTAAGTTCGTATTTCACGTTTACGTCATTTTTATTACTTAATTTTAATTCCGTAAATTTTGGGAATTAAATTGAATAGTTATCGAGTTTGAATTTTCGTAATCAATCTTTATCTTTTGTTGACTTTTTGAAGTTTTAACTAGTGTTTTTAAATAGATCTCGAACCCAGGAACGCATAGGCGAAACCCGTTTGCGAGTCCAAGTTATAACGGTATAGTTACAGTCGTTTGAAGGTGTGAACTATATTGTGGGAATTATTTAATTCCCACATGTGGGTGAAAGGTTAAGTTAGTTTAAAAAGGGGAAAGTTTCTGGAAAAAAAAAAGGAAGAAGGAGAGGTCTGATTTTGACCCATTTTTGGGTGATTTCAACCCTTTAACCCTCCAACTTGATCCACTCATATCTCCTTCATCCTAGCTCCGTTTTGGGTGATCTTGGTGTCCATGGAAAGCTCTTGACGAGCCCCACATCTTTGTAGTCTTAGATTTTCCAGTTTCTTATCCATTTTTCCAGTTCGAGGCAGCAAAGTTCCGTGGGTTTCCGGCGATTTTGTCATTTTCCAGTGATTCCGACAATCATTTCGTTCGAGTGAGGTATGAAACTTCATATACTCTTCATAATCTTCAAGTTGATATGCTTGGTTCGTGCTTTCATATTCATTTTAGAGTTGGGTGTTTAGAACCCTAGAATTCCGGTTTTCTCCGGTGAATTTGGACGGTTTCCGATTAGAATTTATCGTCGGCCTAGTTGTGAAAAGTGTTTCCCTCGTTGAGCTCTAGCTACCATATAAATTTGAGCTCATTTAGTTAATGTTGAAATTTTGGGGTTTCTAAACCCTCCACCTTGGCTACCACCATGTGTGGCGGTGCGTGGGACTAGGGATGGGCAACGGTTATGGCGGGCGGGTAACTGCGATTATTTACCCATAACCGTTTATGTTCATACCCGAATAACCGTTTACCCGTTGGGTAATTACATAAATGGTTATACCCATAACCATAACCGTTTATAAACGGTTATCCATACCCATAACCGTATACCCATTTACCCATAATCATTTACCCATTTAACCATAACCATAACCATTTACCCGTTTACCCATTTTTTCACCCGTTTATCCTTTTTTACCCTTTTACCCTTTTTT